CTTCACTAACAATTCATGTTCCAACCAGAACAGTAATTGTGGATGACAATCCCCCATTTCTGGATGWGCCCTACGAAAATGACTTTGTGGAAGCTGATTTTGAATGTGGAATGATGACTCTACAAAACACTCCACAACTCTCACTTAAGGAAAAAGTTGAAGAAGCTAACTTAAATCCTGAGGAAAAAGATGGACTGTTAAAGTTAATAGATAACTACAGTGAGCTGTTCGATGGTCATTTAGGTCGCACTTCTCTGACAGAACATGTCATCGTCACTGGGGATGCAAAGCCAATCAACTTGCCGCCTTATCGCACCTCCCCAGCTAAAAAGCAAATCATTGAAGAACAAGTGCAAAAGATGCTAAAGGATGACATCATTGAACCTGCGTCTGGACCATGGGCAGCTCCTGTGGTCATTGTGACCAAACCTCCCCGTGAACCACGGTTTTGTGTTGACTTCCGGGGTTTGAATCAGCTGACTGTAAAAGACTCTTACCCACTCCCACGAGTGGATGAGTCATTGGACTTTTTATCAAGAGGAAAGTTCCTGACAACACTAGACCTTGCTCGAGGTTACTGGCAGGTCCCCATTGCCGAACAGGCTAAACCAAAGACTGCTTTCATCACGCATTGTGGCCTGTTTCAGTTCAAGGTCCTTCCTTTTGGTCTATGTAATGCTCCTGCGACCTTTCAGCGACTTATGAACAATGTTTTAGCTGGCCTGATTTATAAGTCGTGTGCAGTGTATCTGGATGATATTGTTGTCGCATCACCAACTTTTGAGCAGCATCTACTTGACCTAGAGGAGGTCCTTGACAGGCTTAAATCTGCTGGCCTCTCATTGAAACTGAGCAAATGTCAATTCTGCCTTTCGGAACTCACCTTCCTCGGCTACCATGTCACAACATCCGGAATTCATGCCGATCCTGACAAGGTGAGAGCTGTRACTGAGTTTAAAGTGCCAACCACGACAAAGCAGGTGCGACAGTTTCTTGGCTTAACTGGCTACTACCGCCGCTTTGTACAAGATTATGCACGTCACGCAGAGCCACTCTTCACTCTCACTAAAAAGGACGTACCATTCATATGGACCGACGAGTGCCAAGCAGCTGTCGACTTTCTAAAACATTCCATAACTTCGGCACCAGTGCTGAAATTCCCGGATTTTACGTGTCCGTTCTTCATCCACACTGACGCATGTGATGCTGGACTTGGAGCAGCATTGATGCAGAGGGATGAGAACGGCAAAGATGTAGTTATGGCTTTTGCTAGCCGTTCGCTGCATAAGTCAGAAAAGCCCTATTCGACTCCAGAAAAAGAATGTCTAGCTGTTATCTGGGCATTGGAACATTTCCGTCCTTATGTCGAAGGTTTACATGTGACTATTTACACCGACCACAGCAGCCTCAAGTGGTTGATGTCTCGACCCAATCCCTCTGGTAGGCTTGCAAGGTGGTCTCTTCGCCTTCAGGACTTTGACTTTAGCATCATCCACAAACCTGGAGAACATAATAAGGTGCCTGATGCCCTTTCATGTAACCCCCTCCCAGATGTGGACA